AAAGCAGGAAAACTCAGGTTTACTAAGTTCGTGTCAGTATCAAAATCACTCTTCACGTCAGTATCTGATGAATCACCAAGTGAAATAACAGTTTTAGGTTCTCTCTCGTCCTCTTATTGTTTCCCTGATAATATCTGACATAACATTTGTGGAGGTGCAGATAAATAAATAAATCTATCTTCTTAGCTAAAATACTGTAAAATGCTCACATGCTTGGATAAAGACAAAGGCTAACCATAATTAACTTTAGCACATATCTCAATAAAATTCTCCTCTTTCCTCTTAATATATGCAACAATGACACAATCAATATCTTTATCGTCATTGATTAGATTACCAATATAGTACCCAATTTTGGTCTCATAAGTCATATTTGACTATCAAGCTTGAAATGCATTAATTGCATTGGAGTCCTAATTTTTTATGAATTCTCCTTAAGTTCATTATATGTTGTGTCGCATTTGATTTACATCATAATTGAGTATCATTGAAATCTTCAAATTGCCTCCCTTCGATTTAGCAGTAAAAATGTTATCCGAACTATATTGCTAGAATTTTTTATATGTAGTACCTAGCAATTTGTTTCTACCAAACCAAACCAATTGATTCAGTTCAATCAGTATTTCGTTAACTACATTTTTTTCTTTTTGACATACAATTTTGACTTTATTTTCATAATCCAATGAATAACAAATTCGTCTAAAAATCTTAAAACACACATCAATTGACAGAGACAAGAAATTAGCCCAAAAAAGGTAAATAATAATAAGTCGAAATCTTCTGTTATATATATTATAAAAAATAGGTAACTACAAGTTTAGTTCAGGATGTAATGCATAAGTGAAAATCACAAGCCAAATCAAACCATTCAGTTTTCTTGATAAAACTACCAAACAATACTCAACTTCAGTTTTGTTTGCTTCTTAATTTTTCAATTTGACTTTTTTTTAATATAGATCAATTTAGTTTAGTTTTCAACACCCTAGTTTGTTTTAGGCAAATGTTATAGTTTGATCAACTTATTCATAAAATAGTTTTATCAATTTGACTTTTAAATGTTTCTTTTGGAAACATTATATAGAGAACTCGTGGAAAAACGATTATTCAATTAAACAAACAAAAGCTTAAAAGAACACATGACAAATATCAGATGAAATTTCCTTCTATTGGGCAAACATTATCATATCACTGTTGAAAATGGGTTTGGAAGAACCCATTCTACGTAATCATAATTCTCACCAAAACTCATTTGAATTTTTTGGTACGTAACAAACATGATACCCAAAAAAAGAGGCATCCAAAGGAGGTAGAGCAATGAAATGTTGTTGTCCAGTGATTGTATGGTATATAGAAACTGCTCAACTATGTCTCCATGATATCCCAATTATGAATTTAGCCAAGGAAAAACATTGGGTGATGTCTGCAACCGCCTTGTTAAAACCTCAACACCAGTCTCTGTCACCTAATAATGTAAAGGGTGAATCATATTAAGTGACTTGGTAAACCACATACTATAAAAGTTACCATCATTATATAGGATTGCACTAATCATCGCTTTTTGGATAATTTCATCCAAACTTCAAATTTATTACGATAAAAATTTCCTTTTGATTGTTATTACCCAGGAAATAGCCCGGGCTGTGATAAAACTGTTTCTTTATAACTGAAACATCACATATTTGAATCCGGGAAACGACTTATTTGCAAATATGCAAGGATAAGATTGCGTACAAAGATTACCCTCATCCCTATCCTCACTTATCGGGATTTAAGGGGAGGTAAATATTAGAGAACCCAAGAGAAGACAGAAATGTACTTACCAAAAGTGTGTGCTCAAATTGAGCACTTCGTTTACCATCTGCAGTAACAGCAGTCCATCCATCAGGCCACATTCGATCACGCCAAACACCTATTAAAATAATATTAGAACTGTGACATGGATCCATGAAAGTTATCAATTTAAAAGATTTATATATATACCTGCATTGATCATTGGTTCAATTGAAAAGGTCTGTCCCGCCTTCATCACACCAACTGCTTTATTTCCTGCCAAAGGTTAAGGTGTATTGCATGTGTTTTCTTTCTTGTAATCATGATTCCTTCTTAACATCAATTAAAAAGAGGGTGGGAGTGGGGTGGGGGAGATGCTACAAGTACAACACTTAAAAGCAAGTTGTCAGTTTAATTTTGGGACCAAAAACTTTCAAGTATTGGATTTGACAGAAAAAGAAAAGTTAACAAACTAAGTAAGAAAAAATGGTATAAGAATGAGGAAGCTGCCTATTGCTGGCAATTGAACTGTATGCATAATGGGATAGCCAATAGGAAAGTGAGTGGCTTTTCCCATACCCTGTGTAGTGCTTTTAAACCAAGAAAAGGATACTTCCATAATGAGGAATATTTGGTGCACAATGGAAGAGCTCTCCAATTCCATGACCACAATATGATTTGACCTAAAGGGACAAGGGATAATATGAGTAAGGAAGAAGTAATAACCACTCGCCAGTGTTAGCAAAGAAAACTAAATAGGTAAGTTAGAATAATAATAATAATAATAGTGCATTACCACTGAGAAGCCTGACATCGAAGCATGCCGATTAATAACTTCGCCAATTTCCCGAAATCGTACCCCAGGTTTAACTGAATTTGATTAGAAAAGGAAGAATCAGGAAGACATAGTTCAATTTCTTAAAACATTATGCACGTTTTTAAGTATACTAAGTATTTAAACACACCACAATCACAATATACACCAAACACCAAATACATATATATTTACGGTTAACATCAGTTATCAATTGATACATACAACTTATATTAACAACATATTAAGTATATGACAGTATTCAATATCAGTTACTTAACATGCCCTTCTCTCTTTAGTTTATATTATTAATAGTTATAAGATTTTTAACTTATATAATTTAGGGTTTAAGACCAAGTTAACATTTTTAAGACTAAATTTGAAGTTTGGTTTATGAATTGACAATGAAGCCTTAGGGTACATGTCAAAAGAAAAAAGAAAGAAAAATAAAAGATTCAAGGCTCCTATAATGTTTTAAAGATTCAATTATATTTGAAAGTTAGACAAGAGTTGAAATCCAATGGAGATATACCAATGGATATTGCCTTTTCCAGGCACTCATATGTGCATTTGACCAGCTGGAGAGACTCTTCGTCGACATTTCCCACAAAGTATGTTTCATTGAGATCACCTGCATTAACAACTCAAATATAATTAAATAAGTTTTGAATTTTAAGAACAACTATCAAGTAAAACAGTATCACATATATGTTAATCAACTCACCATGAAAACCTTTATAGCACACAGTAACATCAACATTTACAATGTCACCATCCTCAAGCTTCCTGATAAATAACTATATGATTAAGAGAAGATCTCAAGTTGATATAATTGTCTACTTCATCATACCTCAGTGGCACTTGCACTAATCATTTATGAAAGTACATATGAGAAGGATTAATGGGAAAAATAATTTTCCGTTGCATTACAGTCAGAAGATCTACTAGTAAAATGGAGAACTAGTAGCAAAACAAAAAATCAAGGTAAGCATAAATAAAAAAAAGCACAGAACAGTCTACCTTGCATCAGGAATTCCATGGCAGATTACTTCATTAACTGACCTGTTAGGAAGAGCAGATTTCACTCTTAACAAATGCCAAGAATATCTGAGAAAAATAGAATATATACAGAAGGAAAGTACCTACGTGCAGCAAGATTTGGGGAAGAAATGGTAATTGAGAGGAGATGGATATCCTCCTGCAAGGTAAAAAATCAGAAGAATATTTTCATCACCACCAAATGATTAGCTGTTATTACCAAATGCCAATGACATCAAGAAATCCAAAGATCCGTTTGGATAACAGAATTATAACAAGGTTGGGAGGTCATCTCTTTAGTTGTTAGTTTCAAGGGACTTTCAATTTCTGATATGTAGAGAGAGCCTTGCTATATCTTCTGGTATCTTTTTTTTTTTTTTTTTTTTTTTTTCAGTCGTCTGTTTTGGAAGATATCTTATTTCAAACCTAGTTGTACTTACCTATTTTCTATCTAATGAAATATCGTTTTTAATGTATGAAAACATTGCTCTTGGGCAGAGCACCACAAAATAAAGCCATTCTTTCAGAGTTTTAGGTCGGAGTCAACACTCAAAACAAAGTATGTATAACAAGTAATTATATGATAACAGAAGATACATGCTAAGCAGCTACAGTAATGCTAAGATTTTCTAAATGCAATATGATCCACTTTACATTGACTAATATTCGATAAATAAAGTAAGGTAAAAAGCTGGTAATTGTTTTGAAAATGAAACTCGTTAAATTAGTACCTGCAGCAATAGTTGCCTCGTGAACAACTCTGTCAATCTCATCAGTCGTCACACCAGGCTGAATAATCCGAGCAGCTGCATCCAACACCTCCCTTGCAATCTGTAAATTGATTTGCATAATGAATACAAAGTCCAAACCAACATACAAAGCAAGAACAAAAAACTATAATCTTTATAGAACTTCTCATGGAAAGGCTTCCCACATTAGACAATGTAGCCACCTCAACTATCCAAAACAAGAAACATTGAAAATGTTTTCTTTTAAATTTTTTATAATCATTCGGGATATTTTTCTTTCTTTTCTTGAAAGCAGAGGTTTATTGGTTGTCATCATTAACCAATGAAACAAAAGTAATTCATATCACCAAGCCATGTGCCACACAGTTGGCCTGTAACAGACTCCAAAAATAAGCGGGCGAATTAAGCACCATGAAAATGAGGATATGAATCAGTTTTCAGTTGAATGATAAATTGAGATAGAGGAGAGGTAAAAACTCCTCCATGATAATCTACAAAAGCAAGATAGCAAGGAAATTACCCGACAAGTTTCTCTCATTCTCTCAATTTGCTCTGGAGATTTAATCTACATTAATAACAGTTACAAAGTAGAATAAATATCAGTTAAAACAGAATACAGACAATGTCCAACATGATCTTTCATCAATTGTTTACTCATGTATTTTAAAATTACCCACCTCAACAGTATGCTGCAGATCACTATTGGGCTCAATTTTGGGAATTCCCTGAAGTTGAAAATAGAATATATAAAAACAATTTAGAAACCAATGACCTCAACAAAGTTATTAAAATATGACTTTCAATTGTATTGTAATAAAATGAGTAAAATCAGATAAAATACAAAGTAGTTAAACAGGAAGAACTCAGATAACTCACATCATCAGCCCAATCAGGTTTATCAATAAAATCCGGGACAATCCGTTTACTAGATATGGGATATGGCCGCAGTGTCCTTTCAAGAGCAGAAATGAAATTTCGGTTTCAACAAATAAATGAACAATTAGCAACAGACTGAGAAAAAAAAAGTTGTGAATTTAATGCTGCAAACATCTAAGATACTAAAACTATAAAAGCGTCAATGAGAAGGGGAATATGGAAAAACAAAAAAGGGAGTCTGAAATGCAAAAACATGATCATATCCTTACTACAATGAACATAATCTTTTGATATTAATTAAAATCACAGTAAGATGTCTAAGTTCTAAAATATGAGAGGATTCAAAGCCCTGGAAATTTACCCAGTCCAATCAAATTGAGGAAACTTTGGAGTTCGACTCTGCCCTCTCCTCAAGCAATATAACCAACCTTCACCAAGTGAGTTTGAGTTCTGCACGTCATGTGAGGACAGCTTTGCCTTCAGATGCACTGATTTGTGCGAGCTCCAGGAAGACTTGAAACATTCCTGAGTACTGTCAAGAGATATCAAAATTAGCTCCAATAAGTGCTCAAATTGAAGAGAAAATGTGAGAAAAAGAGAAAAAGGGAGAAAAAAATGTAAACTGAGAATTTCTGACTTTATCTTGTCTTAGTGTTCTGAATGACAGAATAGAGTATTTATAGATGTACAAAAAGCTTACAGAGAAAGTTTCAACTAAACTAACCTTAACTTAAAACGTTGTAACTGTTTAGAGTTGTAACGACTAACAGCCATGCAAGCTAACTGCCTAACTACAAGGGTACAGTAATATTACTCTAGGAGGTGCAGCACTTTAGTGCTAAACCAGCTCATACAACTAAAACAGTACAAGAGAGTAGTTACTCTAATAGTAGGAATCTAGTAATTTACAGTTCTCTCATTAGCAACCAAGGTCAACCTCACCTTCTTCTACATTGTACCATTCGAAGCAACAATGCCATCCCTTTCACCAAATTGCTAATCCCTAATAACTAAATCAATCTGCTATAATTGTTAAAGTAAATCAATCAGAACTTACTTCTTTTCCTTACAATGACTGAAACAACAGTATTACAAGCCACCATCTCATGCATTATGTTGCAATTGTACAATACCAGCAGGTCAAATCAAAATAACCCAGTTTGTCAGTTCAACTAAAAGACCTACGAGAGGTAACAGACTCTGTAGTAAAGACTATCAAGACAATCAGTATTCTATGGGAACCACAAGGGCCCATCATCTCTTAGGCAATATTTAAAAAGCTCAAGCCTTATGTGGAATCACCACCTTTAAAAGAAACATTACAAAACATCCTCACAGCTCTCATTCACTTGGTCTTGGTGGTTATTTCATTTTACAATTGTCCACTGAGATTCAATGTAATAATAAAAAAAAAAAGGGACTTCAAATAACTGAAAAAGTAGAAAACAATCACGAACCAGAAGGCAGAACCTTCACGAGGAAGCTTCAATTCCATGCATTTAGGACACCTGAGAGAAGAGGAGGAGAGGGAGGGGGGGGGGGGGGGGGGGGGGGGGAGGAGGGAGAAAAAAGAGACAAAGTAGACAAGTTAAAACTAAACATGTCATGCACAAAGAAATACCATTCCGTAGTCTCTACCAAATTATCATCTCAAACCTTAAACACCCAATTGCAAGCTGTTAGAAAACCCCCAATAACCCAAACATACTGTAGAAGGAATAAAAAGATCATTCTTATGTAAGCCAGTCTCTTCTTTGCATCAAGAAGTGATTAATCAATAATGACCATTCTTTTCCTATCATCTTTTACACAAGGCCATCAAAATAAACTAAAAGATTGCATCTGTCACTACCCAAATTACCAAAACCACTATCATAGCAATGTAACAAATTGAGGTACCATTAAAAATTCTCAAGCAACTCAAACAATCCCAAGTTCCAATATTGCATGCTGCCAGCAGCAGCTTTTGCTGAAACCATATTAAAACCCATTTGATCACAACCATAAACCAAGTCTTTGCCACATATTAAACCATTTCAAATGCAGAAACACCATCTTGAAATCCAAAAACTTATTGACAAAAAAAAAAAATGGGTCAAAGAAGGGAAGGGAAATTGTAACTTGTGACCAACTACATAGCACAGAGAGAGAGAGAGAGAGAGAGAGAGATGAATACATACTGAAGGTTTGCAGGTTTGCCACAGTTAGCACAAGAGAGAGTGTTTACAGACACATCAGATTCACCAGCCATGGATTGCAAACTACTGAAAGCTAGGGTTGCTGATACGTTGGAATAGAAATGAGAACAACCTCAAAGAGAGAAACGAATATTTATAACTTAGTGTTAATCAGGGAAATGTACAGCTTAAATTTTGGGCCTGGGCCGTTCAATTTTGCCAGCCAACCCATTGGGCCTGTTTGTTTGTTGGGCTAATCTGGCCCATTTCCTTCTTTTAGGCTATCCATAATATATGAAATATCGTGTCATTCATTATTATTGCTAATTGACTATATTCTTCTTTGATTTTATCCATCAAATATGAATGAGATGTGACAGACATATTTTTTTTGTTAATATAAGGGTTGATCAATTATTCGATTAATTTGGCTTTAGAATTATATGGAGAATTCTCTGAGACAATTTTTTTAATTTTTTTTAATTCATAAAGACTCAAATTTGAGACCACTTATTAAACTGAAACAACATTTTATCAGTTGATCCACGTGCTTTGTGTCCAAACTCGAAATTTCTGATTAAAGAGAACAAAGCTTCTTATCACTAATTAAAACCTATAACTGCGGCCGACTGACATATTTCTTAAGCTATGTAAGTGATATCTTCTCTTAATAAAACCACCGTGAAACTATTATTTTGAAATAATAAAATAACATTAATTTAGTCTTTCTAACAAAGAATATTAACATCAATTTAGTCTTCGAAAAATTAAAAATGCATTAATTTGTTTTTAAAAATATTTCAATTTGTATTTAAAAAATAATTTTGACATATTTTTTATTATTATAGAATGAATTTAATGTCACATATTTCTTAGAGATGGAATTGATGTCAATCCAATAACTAAGAGAAAAATAAATTCTTGATAATATTTGATGACATAGTCCATTCATTACCTATAGTTAAGGCAACTAATACATATTATTTTTGTTTGAATTTCAACCATTGCACTCTTGTTCTTTGGTCCGGAGAATTTGATCAGTTTGATTCATGGAATATTTACTCACCATATTCTATGTGAAATTTTGGTGAAACAACGTGTAGGGAAGCTGAATGAGGGAAATGGTGATTTGGCAATTGGTAAGGTTCGTAGGCATTGTACGTGTTATAGCTACATCCAAACTCTTGTTACTAAAATGTTTTGTTTTTATAGTTTTGGATTTGATTGGCTTCTGGAATAACAAGCCAAATGAAGAAACAATTAATTGAAACTTTTGAATATATGTATCTTTTGCAGCTAACATGAACAAATGTTCACTGAATTTGGAAGAGACGTCCGAAACCAACCGCTAGATGATTCTCCACTTCCTCCGTCTTCATTGACTATATATTGCGAACTCTTTTATACTTTTACTTTATTGATTTTTTTTAAGGGATAAGATATTGTGACAACCAAATAATTTTACTACTAATGTTACAACCACATCTTAACCGTTGATTTCTGTCAATCAACGGTTATCATTTTTCAAATCAAATTCATTAATTAATTATTAATTCGCAATAAATGATAACCGTTGATTGGCGGAAATCAACGGTTAAGATGTGGTCGTAACATTGGTAGTAACATTATTTGGTTGTCAGAATATCCTATATATTTTTTAAAGGTATAATATTTATATCTTAAGTAAAACTTTTACGGCGGTTTGATAGATGGATAAATTTGAGTTTCCCAAAAAAAATTATATTAGGAATCTTAGTTATTCACGTTTGATATAATATTTCAGGGTGTTCAAAATATCAAAAAAATCAAACCGATCCATAACCAAACTGCTCCACATTTTAAAAATCGGTTATTCTTTAAAATGATTTCATATGAAACTGCATTTTATTTTATAAATTGATTATTTATCAAACCATAAAAATAATTGGTTATCTATAACCAAACTGCTTACAATTAAAGAAAAAAAATTTACCAAAAAAAAAAGAACAAATAAGTATTATCTTTTAAATAAATATTTTCTACATGAGCTGCTTAACCTTTTTTGCTAGTTTATTGTTTGGAAGTTTGAGTCAATTTACTAATATAATAGGTATGATAAAAGATAATACTTATCTGTTCTTTAATTATAAAGGAGTTTGGTTATGGATAACCAATTATTTTTTTGGTTTGGTAAATAACTAGTTTATAAAAATAAAATACAGTTTCATATGAAATTGATTTTTAATAATAATCGATTTTTAAAATGTGGAGCAGCTTGGTTGTGGATTAGTTTAGTTCATTTGGATATTTTGAACACTTCTACCCATAGCTTCCTTCATTAGTTCAAATGAAACTCTTAGTAACATAAATCTTGAGAGAACGAAGAGCAATTGTTTTTTATAATTTTAAAATAATTCAACTATTCTTCTTCCAATCACTCTCAAAACAACGTGAAACAATTTCTATAAGAATCATTTCGTCCTGAGAGATCCAAAACAATGAAAATTCTTGCAAGAAATAGTTGGTCAACTACCTTATAACCGGAAGAAACAAACGACTACTTATAAAAATCGCACAATCCATCAAAAATTGACTTTGAATTTGTTAAAAAACTGATTTTGAACTTGATAACAGGTTTATGGTTCATAACCGGTTTTGATTTAAAACCGGGTTTGAATTAAAACCGATTTAAAATCGGTTTTAAATCAAAAATCGGTTATAAACCATAAACCGGTTTTGGAACCGGTTTAGAAAATTAAAAACTAGTTTTAAAAGAAGAAAATCGGTTCTGTTTGAAAACCAAACCGTGTAAAACCGGTTCGATTCGGTTTTTGTTAAAACCAGTTATGAACCGCTCCATGCACACCCCTACTTAAAATTTTACTGGAAAAATAAGAGTCCTGAAAATTAAAATTGTGAATAAAAATCTCATAAAATAATACCACTATGTGGTATTCTTGAATTTCTGAATTTTTTTTACATAATTTATAGGACATAATATTCTTAAGTTGTAGGGTATATTTAATTTATTACCCATATTCTTTTAATTAAGAAATATTGGGAATATATAGACAGATAAGAAGTTAAGAACATTAAAGTAAGATGTTATTATTTTCAATTTGAAGAAATTAATCTTCATACATGCTTATAATTTAGCATGAAATTCCTTGGATTAATTGCTTAGTTTTCATCTTCACATTATTTTTGAGATGTATATTATTAAGAAGTCACGGACATAATTATAAAATTTATATAGGTAAGGAAAGAAAGTTCATTAATTAAATTTAGAAGGTGCTGCCAAAATCAACCGCTAAATGATTCTTCACTCTGTCATTCTGATGATATTGTTCTTGCTTTTAGTTAGTTCATTTACTAAGCTATAAGTATAGTTTTCATTTATCGATTGAAAAACAAAATTTGCAAGTTTGCTTGAGATACATTTGATTTAACTGTTATAAAAGCAATGCGAGCATCATTGTAACTTGTTTTATTTAATTGTTTTATTTTTTAATTAAAGGGATCTACTTTCACAGAAAAACTGGAAACTGATATTTCATAAATTCATAGACTATTTTTTTGTTTTATTTACTTCAATCCACGTAGAGAAAGAAAGGAGAGAGAGCGATAATCACAACAAATTTTGAAGAATTGCATGTCTGACTTTTGTACAAAATCAACATCTATACATGCAACACTTTTCTTTATAATATGTTTTAAAATTAATTAGACATCGTTTATTATATATGCTAGTTAATAAGTATGTCGACAATACTAATAAAGAATAAGTTTAAATTTTATTAAGATATATATTACTCTTTCCAATAAAAAAATTGGTCGCAACACTCTTTTAATATTTTTTTTATTCAATAAAATCCACTAATAAAAAGTAGACCTAAGTTATTTAATAACACTTATTTAATTTAATTTTTGTAAATATCATAAGCTCAACCTCTACTCCATATTCCATAATACAAATAGAATTTTATTCCATATAACAATAATATAGCCTTACATTACATATTAGTTTCTAGGACCTAATAAAGCAAATGATATTAAACAGGATTTGGGAGCATTATATATATAACCAAGCTAGCAATAATTCAATGCTAACTACTAAGTAACACATTCAAGATATGCTGTTTACAACCCATTAATTAATTGATTAACAGCCCCTAATTACATGAACTAAAGTAGTTTCCCTTAAATTCCAGACAAGAATGGCACCCCTGTAGCAGAAATCCACCTTTCTCCTTGCAAAAATTGACTCACTGTGAAGGGACTAGCCTCATTGGCACTACTCAACACATGAAAACCAGGCCAATGCACCCTATCCTGTGTAGAGGCACCACTTCCATAATTCATATACTCACCATAGTACAAAGTTGAAATTGCAAAATCTCCTTCCCATTCACCCCACCCTCTTGGGTTAATCAACCCATCTAAGTCACTTTTCATGAACACAGTCCTTGAGTACTTTTTCCAAGGCCTTCCTAAGAAGGTACTGAAAGAATCCTTTGACATGACAAATTCTGATGCAGGCCTAACCCTGCAACTCTGGATTGAAATCCCAGTTGGTTTATTAGGATCATCTCTTCCTTGTGCTGTGATGAAGTTAGATTGATGACTCATTGGTTTCCTTATATAGATGTCACAGTTTTGTAACACTACCGTGGCATCACCAAATATGAAATCTATGGTCCCATATATGTGACAATCTCTGTAGAATTGGCGATTTGAATGCACATAAAGTGTGTCTTGGTATCCTCTGAAGCTGCACCTGTAGAAGATTGATAGGTCTGAACTTACCTTAAGTGCCACTGCTTGATGCCTTTCAGGGCCTGCAGTGTTCTCAAATGTCATATCTTTTGCCCAAAACCCATCACCAGATACATCTGTTTGATATATATATATACCAAATCAAGTTAGCACACCTTTCAATCATTGGAATTTGATGGGAATGAGAAATATTTATCATTTATTGAGAAATGAAGGGTCAATATATCTTAATGAAACAAAAAAATTGTTAATTAATGTTAAAATGTGACAATAGATGAACCAAATTTGATAAAAAAAAATTTTTGGATAAATATTTTATAATGTTACCAAATGTGGCTGAGCTCAGAGTGGTGGAACCCTGAACAACATTTCTGTTGCCAGTGATGATAGTTTTGTCTATGCCATCTCCTACAAACATCACACTGTGCAACTTGTTTCCAACCTCCACCTTTTCATTGTAGATTCCTGATTTTACATAAACAACTGCTCTTTCAGGACGGTTTTGATCCATTGCAGCTAGTGCTTCTACTGCTTCTCTGATTGTTTTGTGTGTGCCTGAACCATCTTGTGCCACTGTGAAATCTGCCTTACCCGTTTCTGAATTCCATGATTCTAAAAGACCTTCATTTGATTTGGATACTGTTCTAAGTGGTGGTCCTACGCACACACACAAAAAAAATGTCAAAAAATAAGAATAGATTAAGATATTCAAATTAATATTGTGATCAAATTAATAAGGATAACCATCCTATGTCACTATGTTTAGATGTCAAAATTGGTTTGTTATTTTTTCACCAAAGTTATATATGAGTATGGAATCAACCTTGGTAGTTGGCACATCAAATGACAGAATCTTACCCTTTTCCTTTTACACAGATAAGAAACCAAATAGTAACTCCACCCCATAAATAACAGTAAATTTTTATTTTTGTTTATCATTTACTAAGGTAGACCAATAATATTGAGCTTATTGATTATCCAAGTCAGCTTTCTTGGTTTCTTTTGTTTGTTCTATACACCAAAGGACAATATTCTGGACTTCCGTTAAAAAGACATTCTTCTAACCTCTTTATCCGAAAAGAGTAAATTGTAGCAACCATTTAAGAAATATAGATGGAGATAAGCTCAAAAATCTGGTATATGTACAAAAGTACAAATCAGATCAGACACGTAAAAGAACATGTAAAAGAAGTACACTATGATGTAACATTGATGCATTATATGCATATATACTTGATGATGTTTTGTAGTAAAAAAATAATTATTAAAAAATTATAATATTGCACGTGGTGGATCACTATTCAATTGCGGCTTGTAAAATTGAAACGTGCAAATCCTGTCTTATTTTTAAGACATGTTCAATGGTAAACGGCGTGGATGCCAATACCCTTCTCGTTTATGGAACATTTAGTTGGTAATGATTAGTTAATGTCTAAGTTGATATGCATATAATGCATCAATGGTACCTTAATTATCTCGTATTAAAATTCTCTAATAATCAAAACAAGATGTCACAGAAAGACAAGGCCTTTTGATATATTACACCATCTAATGCAAATTACTTACCTTTTCCTTTGCCTTTGTTGTTTGAATACAAAACAAGAGCTTTCCCAAGCAACATGGTCAAGTTTCTACCCAAAACATGACTTTCAACATAACCTTTTTCCTGCAATCCATCTAAACAAGTCTTGTGATTTGTCATCACAGCACTTACCCAAGTAAGTGCATCTTCTTTGGTGTAAGTACTCTTGTTAGACATCATGTGAGCCAACCGAGACTCACACTCCTCATAGAGCTTGGCACAATCACTTAGCGCCACACTTGTTTGATCTGAAAGGCTTAGGCTTTGATCAGCCAAGCCAAGCAAACTGACAGAGTTCCCAACCCAATTCTTGGCATGTGAAACCTGGGTTTGGACCATTTGGAGCACCTCCATTTCTTGGAGGCAAAAGGTGGTGGTGGCCATGGCTAGGAGGAGGAGCAAGACGGTGGCACAAGTGGCCATTTTTTTTGGGTAGAGAGCTGTGATGACTTGTGCATGCTTGGTGTTGTGTGTTGCTGATTTATAGCCAGCTGAGGAAGCTAGAGACATGGATGCTAGCCAGGTGTCACTATGCCTGTGTCACCTAACCTAGCTGATATATATACATGCATATATTATCTTGGTGGAAAGGAAATTTCTTCAAAGTATATAAAATATGAAAACAGCAATGTTCATATAATATTTTAATTTTTGTTAATTTTTTAAAGGGATATATTTTTCTTATGTTGTAGGAAAAAAGTTATCTCGTGTTGTAGAAATGAAAGTATAAGTGAGACTCACAGATAAGAGGAGAGGAAAAAAAGAGTGGTGGGACTGAACTTCTGTTTATGTGTAAGAAAATTGTTTATCTCATGTAAAATGAGATAAACATAATCCATTTTTAAATTGATATTTATTCTTGCACATTGAAACTTTAGTGTAATGTATACGTTATTTTAATTCTTATATCAGGAAGGATATATTTTTTTCCTGTACAAGCGAACTTTTTGGGGCCCATAATACTCACACTTACACGTACGTATCAATTGTCTGATCGTCTTCAATAAAAACCACTAGCCAATATAACAAAGTGACAAATAATTTTAGACCTCGTGCATGTCTCTAAAATGTTAAGCTCTTTTATGTGCCTTTGCCTTACAATTAGCACCCTTATTAATCTATGCATGTAATTTATAAATACAGTTAAATAATTGAATATAATTTCAGAATAATTATAATAGTATTTTATATATGTTTAACCGAACATAAAAACACGTAATAGGAAAAAAGCTTGTCACTTCTCAAGTTTATTCACACGTTACAAATTAAAACATTGACTTATATTTTATACTTTTATTTTTTGATATGTTGTCTTGTACCAAAAAATAAATTGTATATTATATGAAGATTAACTTGACATTTTGGATGACCGCTTCAGTTTGCGGCAGATAAGCGGTGCGGTGCCTTCCCAACAAACTGAAATTAATAAATAAAAATAGGGAAATGGTTTTTTTTTTTTTGATAACAGGGAAATGGTTTTGTTATGTAACATAACATAAAATCAAACTTCCTACTCGCACAAAAGGAAGAGAGAGGAGAGAGAATAGAAAAAAGAGAAAAAATTTAAAGTGGATTCCATATAAAATTTGTGTGTGTAGGAAGATGATTTTATGTTATGTAACATAATAAAATAAAGCCCATAAAAATATTAGAATATTTTCTTTTATATATTTAAAGGAGGACTAAATTGGGTCTTATACGGAACAATTAATAGATCGAGAAAAACAAGATAGAAAATGAAATAGAGTACAGTGCGAGACTTAAACCCACCTATTTTTATTGCATATCTCACAACCTTATTAATTAAGTTGTGTCAAGGATACCAAGAAGGAATATTTTATCTGATGCATATAAAACAGTAAAAGGAAAAAAAAAAAGTGCAAGCAAATCTTATTAGGAGAGATGCATTCCATCACACATTCCGTGAGTGAAGTAATTGAAAGTGGTGTTTTGAAGCAGCATTTTTTAAAGTGAAGTAGCAGGAGGTTGATTTGGCCATTGACATTGTGCATGTGTTTCTTCACTACTTCTGCAATACAACTTTTACTTGTTGAATATGGATATGTAATTGATTATTGGTATAGAATGATACATGCCCAAAGTTATTCCGATTTTGAAAGGCTCCACTTTAAAATTTGAAAATTGTTAAATTTTGAATTTGCTTTATTTTCTATGTATAATACAATTGATGTTGATTTTAGTTTAAAAAAAGAAATGATATACTTACCACCAAAAAAGTCTAATCACCATTGATTTTCGTCATTTAACGGGTATAATTTATTGAATTTATTTGAAATTAATAATTAAGTAATAAATGCGACCAAATAATTTCTAATAAATTATGACCGTTAGATTGACAGAAATCAACGGTGATTAAGTTGGTTGTAAAGGTGATAAACTTTTTTTATGATAAGTATATCCTGCCAAAAAAATAATAATACAAATAATGAATATGGATAATACATCTTTAAAATAAATTGTTTATGGCCAAACTAAATGAAATCATCTGTATTTCCAAAAAAAATGAAATCATCCGATGTGGTATTCCAATTTAAGAAGCTTGTATTAAAGACTTCTTTTGGTTATAAGAAGTGAGGTTAATTAATTATCTTTCAGCATAAATTTATTATTTTAATCACGATATATATGCGGTTAATAGTATTCAAATCTCTTAATACCATCATTAATGTTGCGTATTCATTGAATATAAAGAGTGATTGACATCATTAATGGTATTGATGGGCACAATAATCTCTATGCAATTCCGTGCGTGCGTACGATTAGCTTTGTGGATCTTCTATCATGGGACAAACAATGTTTCAAATACTTAGCTTGACATGACAAATTAGGACTTTTTGATTATTGTGCTCTTCGTTAATTAAAAAATAATTAATTTATTACTGACTCAAATTATTTTATCAATCTGCTTTTATTTGACCGTTGATCGAAGGTTTAATCAATTACAATATGAACTTGATCAATTAAATCTTAAAAAAAAAAAAATTTACCAGATGACCCCATTATGTAATATATTAAACTACAGTATTTAATCGATTACATACTGTCAAAAACAAATGAGAAACTTGATAATTAATTAAGGGTTTTATAAGAGTTATGTTGTAGGAAAAATGAATGTGTAATGTTATAGAGATTCGTTTTGCGTGCTGTAATTTTTTTTTCTTCAAAAAGTGTGGGCCCCACAAAATGTTGTGTGTGTAGGAAAGTTTGTTGTGTCATGTTAAATGACAAATACAAACCCCGTTAATTAAAACACCATAGTTTAATTGATGACATAACGAGTTTAATAGTAACTTTTTTTTTGAAAGTTTAATCGGTTAAGCTTGTGTTATAATCGATTAAACACTCAGTCAACAGTTAAATGGGAATAGATTGGTGGAATATTTTGGATAAGAGATAAATTAATTATTTTTTAATTAACAAAGGCATAATAATGGTAAAAAAAAAAAACTGACGAACCATATTTTGTTGTTTGGCAATTCATATTTTTTATCTCGGTGGAGGCACAACTAAGCCTCGAGAATGAGATTAGTTTGAAAGGCGATGGAACGTGACAACCATATGAAATCTAGAATCTAATATTTTTTATTTTTCAGTTAATTGTGATTCTTGTTGTAATAACAGGGACGAAAATACATCCGATAGTCTGTTAGGAACTTACGATCTAAATGTTAGACCAAGTCTAACCTAGTATATCTAACCGAGATATAAAAATACTCATATAAAAAATATGTCATAAACTTGCTTTTAAAAGACCTGACTTATTTTAAAAATGCCTTGCCTATAAAACCTATAAGTCAGACTATATGATATAATTTATTTCTAAAAAATATAAAATAAATTTATTATTTATATCAATTTAGATAATAAAATAAAATCTGATTGTATAAGGCCTGATTAAATTTTAATATTATTCAACGTTTGGTGTGGTATTGTATAAAATAATATCCTCAAATATTTTAAAAAATAATATATTAAAAAAATTATTTTAATATGTTAATATTGAAATGATATATTAGTTCTTGAAAATTATACTTGTAAGCAATATTAATACATCAACCTCTTATCAGGCCTAATTTTATCTCCTTAGACCTGATTAAATTATATATTATTTTGATGTATTAAAGGGTTCTACTGTATAAGCTTATACTATACGATAGTCACACCAAACAACTGAAAATGTCATAATATATAATATAAACTTATACTATCAAACCTTATACATCACACCAAACAGGACTTTATTATAGACGTCATGCAAAAATCACATGACTAATTGTTAGATAGCCTCTCCTTAAACTTTTATGTATCAACAAATTAATTTTATAATTTTAATTGTTAAATTATTACTAACTACTTCGGCTCGAATTAATCCAACGAACAATGAAAATTACTCCGATAGCTATCCATTTTATTAGGGTATCCATAACCAAAATGAATTATCAATCATGTATTTCTTATTTATTATATTTAATGAATTTTTAAATTCTTATAAAAATTTAACAACTTATAAATATGACATAATAAGTTTGATATATATATAGCCTCACTCCTAGAAATTGCAATGATATATAGCCTAATGTATTTCTTCCTTTCCCCCTTTTCCCCTTTTCATCTGATTCCTCTCTCAAGTTTCATCAAGTTAAATCCATGCAAAAGCCAATATTCAGGCTCTATTTTTTTTTTTTTTTAATTCAGGAGGGCTTGGCCCAAACAAACAAGAACAATACTAACAAGTATCAAGACAAGATAATCAGGCTTTTATTTTGTTGTCTTATTCTTATCTACAAACTGGGTAGTTAATACAGGCCGAAATAATATGGCCCTAACTGAAGCGTAAAACTTAAAACATGGGCCTTGGGTCATTTCGAATATTGAATGATTAGCTTTTAATGTCCAAAAACAGTTTTCATCTCTAATTATATTCTTAAGACAATTCAATATGTGTACTGACAAAAATTAATATAAAAAAATAAAGACAAATCAATACATGATCCTAAATCCGAATCTACGATAACAACGACCGTAATCGTTTTGGTTCAATGAGAAGCATGAAATAATGATATTTATTTCGCTTACATACTGGATTTAAAGAATAAATAATGCACATATCCACTTACATATGTTAAAAAATTTAATATTTATTAAAAAATTATTAGAAAAATAAAGCAGTAAGGATGAGACTCTGAATCACTTGATTACGAATGATAATATATAAACAATCAGTTGAATAGGTGAAGGCATACAAATAATTTTTATATTTTTATTATACATCTAACAAAACAGGCTTCAAATGTAATATATCAACTTCTTCACATTATACAATGAATTTGTGTGTGTTCTTAGTACAAGCCATGAAGAATGAAGTTATTTATCAGCTAGGCTGACTAATATTTCTTACTGTGTTCAACAGTACATTATTCAAAATTAATTACTTCCAATAAAAAAAGAATTTAAAAGAATAAATATTCAAACAATACACAAACAATTGAAAAATTATAAACTAGAGGTGAAAGGCACACGAGTGGATGGTAACCATGAGTTGCCAGCGATGAAATTTGCAACAGTGAACTTTGAAGCTTCAGAAGCGCTGGTAATAACATGATACCCTGACCATTTAACTCGGTTTGTTGTTGAAGAACCAGGACCTGTGTTCATGTACTCTCCATAATATAGAGTGTTTAATGCAAAGTTACCACTCCATTCCAACCAACCAGCTGGATTAATCAAACTATCAAGAGAAGTTTTCATGAAAACTGTTCGTGAATATTGTTGCCAAGGCCTTCCAAGGTAAGTCTTTACTGAGCTTTGAACTAGTTTCAAATCTGAAGCAGCTGTGACCCTGCAATTGTGAATGGAAATGCCTGTGTTCTGGTTTGGATCGGTTCTTCCTTGTGCAGTGATTGTGTTAACTTTGTTCGGAGGGTTTCTTGCAAAAAGGTTGCAATTTTGGAACACAACAGCAGCATTACCAAAGATGAAGTCAACTGTGCCATAGATGTCACATTCCCTATAGAACTGTCTCTCAGAGTGCACATACAATGTGTCTTGATAACCTTCAATGCTACATCTGTAAAATACTGATAAGTCTGATCCAGAACGTAGTGCAACAGCTTGGTGATTTGCTGCACCAGCAGTGTTCCTGAATGTGATATCTTGAGCCATAAATCCATCTCCAACAACAGCTGCAAAAAAAAATCATAATAATTATGTTAGAAAATAATATAAACCATTAAAAAATCCTCACCCAACCGCTTAAGTTTTTTGGTTGAATTAGTTCCTTAGATGGTATCAGAGCCTGGTTGTTCCGGGTTCGTTATTCGCCGTCCCCATTTTCTTTGTGGAATTTTTTAGCACAGATAAGTTGGACTTGATGCATCATCGACTTTTTAAACCCAATGAACTCTTTTGTGAGGGGACGTGTCAGAGAATAATATAAATCATTAAAAAATACTCTTCACCCAATTACAACTTAAGTTTTTAGATTAAATTGGTTCTTTATAAATTAAGTGCTTAATATTTGAGTAGTTTATTTTTCTTAATTATTTTAATGAATACATGATGAAACTAATTAAGAAGGAAAAAAATAAGTTTTTGCTTACCAACAGTGGCTGAACGGAAGGTTGTGGTGCCTCCTCCGACACTTTTGCTACCTGTGATTATGGTTTTGCCAATACCATCTCCAACTAACATTATATTCTTTGCTTTTATCTCAACTTGTTCATTGTATATTCCTGCCTTCACGTGTATCACATACCTTCCGCTGCTACTTAGTGGTGCTGCATTTATGGCTGCACTAACTGTTGTGTATTTTCCAGAACCATCTTTTGCCACCACTACGTTAGCTTGAGAAGCTGGAGAAGATGTCTGCAAGAGCTTTCTATCACCTGGCTTGACCCATGTTGGGAACCCTTCTTTGTAATTTGGTTCTTCATATTGAACCTTGTTAAGAGCCAATGTGTTGCTTAGCAACTTAGTAACATTGTTGGACATGAGAGGCAGCACGTAGTCTTGGACACCAAGCTCGTAGAAACCAGCTTTGCATGTCTCAAGGTTAGTGAGAGCTGTGCTGAGCCATGTTTGAGTATCAGCTTGGGAGCACTTGGTGTTTGGGTCTAGGGTTTGGTTGAGTCTGTGAATGGTGTGCTCATAAAGCTCAATGCAATCAGACCAAGCAGTTGTTTCACGTGGATTGCGGCACTTTGAACCTAATGAAAGAGTGTTTGCATGGCCTATGAGTGCTCTCTCTTGAGCAAGTTGCAATGAAAGCTTGAAGAAATCTGATTTGTGCTTGATTGGTTTGTGTTGGTGAGTAGGGTTATTGCTTAAGAAATACTCACATGGTTGAGGATTTGGGGTTTGGTTACACCAAAGTTGCATGTCATTCAAAGAATAACTAGAAACTAAAGAAGAAAACAGGAAGGGAACGAATAGAAGTGGTATGAGTAATCGAAAAGCTTCCATAGTTTGCTATCTTCAAACTATATATGGAAAATTTTAATAGAAATTGTAGATATGATGAAAATCACTTATAAGAGAAAATGGTTTGAGCAAGTTTCGATTGATTGTAGTTTCATGTTCTAATTTTGTTGGCTATTTATAGAGGATTGCAAGAAGTGATTGTTTGAAATATATGGATGATATAGTTGACCGCAGGCGCTGACTTTCTACTTTTCCAAATCCTTTTCGTTTTTGTTTTTGCTTGCAGATTCTTTCATTATTGATAACATAATTAGAAATTTCATATTTTGTTCATAATTTGCAGTTATATATGTTTACCTTCACCATGCATCACTTCTATGACGAGTTCTATAATTTGCACTTAAGTTAATGTAGAGAGGTAAGTTTGCTAATATTCATTACTGGTTGATTTTCTAATAAATATTTGATAATTTATTAAATTAATTAATAAATTATGATCAAGTACCATTGAAAAGAAAATATGGTTTTCAAAAGTAAAAGCTACTTTTTTGCCGTAATATGCAGCCGTAGAAACTAGAAAACGTAATATTCCGTCTAATGATGTGGCAGTCTGATGGGGAGATTGTATTTGATTTGTTTGCCAACTAGGACATCGGATCCATGGGCGTCTTATTCTAGCTAAGTAGATAATGATCGACTGCAAACCCATATAGTGTTTTTTTTTTTATACAATAGTGGGAAGTATGGGATATACTGGAAAAAAGTATCTAACGTTAGTTTAGGTAATTTTATCTGATGTTCATCGAAACGACTTCGTTTTGGGGTTAAAAAATGAAAAAATTAGAATGATAGAGACTATTATAACCCTGAAATAAATTAAATTTACAAAAATACCATGATTTCAGCCCAAAACGACGTCGTTTAATGAACATTAGATAAAGTTATCTAAAGTAACTTTAAAAAAAATAAACTCATAAACTAAAGTGGCAGGGAACACGTTATGTTTAGTAAAATATAAATAGTTTTATTAGGCTTAGAAATATTTATCTAAAAAATAGGTGATAAATCACCTTATATGTAGGTTAACTTATATTATATTAATTTTATTAAATAAAAAATAGAATACTTGTTTAAATTTTTTAATAATAAAATAAGGGAAAAATATTTATCATTTAAAAAAATATAACTTTGTGTCATTTTAAATTCTAACCGTTGATTTCTGTCAATCAAAACGGTTATAATTTATTAGTTCAAATTTATTAATTAATTAGTAATTTATAATAAATTATAACCATTGATTGGTAACAAATAAATGGTTAAGATTTAAAATGATACAAAATTATATCATTTAAAAGTACAAATATTTTTTCCTTAAAATAATATTATTTTAGTTCTTTCCTCAAATTCTTTATAAAAAAATCACTTCTTATATGATTCCGACTGTACTCATACTAAATTAAGTCGGATGATTAATGAATCTATGGAAAAATCTAAAAAGAAATTCTTGATAAACCTAAATAATCTCAAAGGCTTTACACACAAAAAACCATATATTTAAGGACTTTTGTTTTTTTTTTTTTAAAAACATGTTAAGTCCGCACTTATAGCTCAACCCACCAGATTAAATATTTTATACAGGCTCAATCTATTTTAGTTAAAGTCTAACAAAAGGAGAAAAAGAAGAAGAAGAAATGTAAATAAAATAGTCGTAGTTAGCCTAAAAGAAATTCAATTCCTAGAAATTACTAAGGAAGGATTAATATGATTCGAATTCAAACAATGCAACCAAAGAAGTTTATGACTTCTAAATCCAATGCCATTTGTTCAATGATTGTTTCAAACATAAGTTTATTAGGGACACAAATAATTGACCTGAGAACTCCGAGTACGTAGAATAAGAAGATGAACAGTTTTGTTCGCCTATCTAGCTTAAGTTGGAATTAGAAAAGGTATATTTGGCTGTCTAGTTGGTGTCTGCCATTTCAAACGAATGAATCGTGTGCCTTTTTTGTTTTCATCGTAGCGAGACAAAGATTTAAAAAGAAAAGCAAGCATCGGTGTAGTGTGTTAAATTATTCAATACCCATTTTATTTGTATCTTACTTGTTAAACATATATTAAAAATTTAAATATTTATGTTAAAAACAATAAGTAATTAATAAATATTTGACAAATAGTTAAAGGTACAGTTTTTTTTTTTTTAAATAACTTGGCTATATATGCTAAGCCGCAATTTATTTTGGAGGTCGAATTAATGCATTAACATATTGACGATTTGATGTTTGTACGAGGAAATCATTGACCATGTGATGAAATTACTATTCCTTCACGTTTAATAGAATAGTAGTCTATGCGTAAGTTTAGGGACCCGCACCCAATTTAGTTTATGCCCATGTTTTAAGTGTCATGTCATGGTCAAGACAATATAGTCTACGGGCAGGGTAAAGCCTAGGCTTAGTTGATCCCAGTATTTTAAAATTCTTCCCCACTTCGGAATCGATCCCTCCGGGTCATTGATTATCCCTTTCTGATAGTTTGGGTTAGTAGTTAAATCATATTTACACGTTGATCTCTTTAATCTTCAAAATCCCTCAGTTGAACCCTTGACTCTTGGGTTAGAGGAGTCACTGCATTTTTTTTTAAAAAAATTATACACAAAATAACGTCATTTGATGTGTAAAACAAAACAAAAACAAAAATTCGTTGCTCCTAGATTTAGAACTAGATCTGAAATCTGAATCACTCTTATTCTTCTCTTCCGATCTTCTCTCCTGACTCTGACTCAGTCTTCCTGTTCCGATGATCGTCTCTACCGTGCTGGTTCTTCTTTTTACACCGACAATTTGTCATGTAGCCGCCTTTCCTCCGCTATTATCTATTGGCTAAGGGATCTCTTTTCACATACTATTGTGGATGCATGAGAAAAACAAGAAGGGCCTGAGTTTGAGGATATAACTTTTCATTAACTCCATTAGAATATGTGTTTTATACTTTGTTAGTTTGATTAGCTTGTGAATTTTGATTTGTAGATGTAATTGGTTAAATTATGTTAAGTATATTTTGAATTTTTAATGATGGATAGTTTAGCCTTGCATGTTCATAACAACATAATTAAAAGATAAAAAGAAACTATAATGGTTCATAGAAACTTAGCAGGAAATATAAACGATGATTCTTCTTTTATTGTTATCCCTTTCTTTCTCCTCTACGATCGTGCTCCAGAAGTTCTTCTCTGTCTCTTCTTGTCTTTCTGAAATCTTTTCTATGAGTTTTTGTCGTCTTCCGAATGAATTCCACAACTTTCGCCTCGTCCTTTAAAAAAAAATTGGGTTTTTTAATATTTGGAATAGCTCGCTGAAGCGAGCTGCTCAGCGAGCATATTTTAATTGCTCGCTGATGAGCTCGCTAAAGCAAGCTGCAGAGTAAGGGTTGAACGATATAACACCCCGTGTTAACTCGGTTTGTTAACATGTCATCGTATTAAGCCACACTTAATTTAAAAATGCGGAATATCTTTTTTCTTTTCAATTATGACATCATTATCATTACCAACTTGGCTACTTAATTTCCATAAAAACATCGCCTGTATATATATTGCAAAGACATCTAACTGAAATACCTCATTTATTAAATATCATAAGTTTGTCTCTAGTCACAGAACTACAACACGTAGACCGGACAACCTAATAGTTTATACAACACAGGTAAAGGTACTAACATCAAAGCGGCATGGACAAACCTCATGCTCACCAAATAAGGCAACAAGCCCCAACAACAGTCTCAACTCGATAATCATAAATGACAGGAAACATAAACAACATCCAAGTCCATCATGTCAGAATACAGCATAATAGCATGATAACAACATAATCTAACTCAGCTTCGGCCTCTTGTCGCTAGAGGAATCAACCCCCGCATTACCTGAACCTGAAATGTGTGCCCCAAACGTGGGGTGAGATCTCTAAACAGAATTCTCAGTAAGACAAGGGGTCCTCAAGGATCTTCCACCCCAAGCTCACTTACATGTACAATATAAGTTCAAAAGGCAGTTTAACAGTATAAGTTCTCAAAATAGTGCAATGCAGCATATAATCATGTCATGTGTGTTATAACATTTCTACTGATCAGAGAAGTGCAGGAATCCATCTAAACCCACACAGTACTAGCCACTCGCTGTACCCGCCCACATGATCGCCCCTTGGCCTCCCGTAGGCGTAACACCATATACATATCATAAGCAATTGCACTTAACAGCTCATTAGCATTTCAGAAAATAGTACATGAAACATGTAACACCCCGTATATATATCCGGTAATGTTATCACAATATCGTATTAAGCTGCACTTAATTAAAATGCGGAATTACTTTTTCTTTTCAATTATGATGCCATTAACATTACCAACTTGCTTAATAATCAATTAATAAAACATCGCCTGTATGTAATTGCAATAAAACAGCTAACTGAAATACCTCATAACATAGATAATATAATTGTGGCTCTAGTCACGGAACTACAACAATGTAGACCGGACCATCTAACAGTTTATACAACTCCAAACTACAAGTACTAACAGAAAGTGTCATGGACAATCCCCATGCTCACTCAAATAAGGCAACATGCCCAACATCAGTCTCAACAACATCATATCATAAATAGCGGAAAACATAAACAGTATCCGCATCCAGTCATGGCAGCAAACAGCATAACAACATCAACTAAGCTCTGGCCTCCTGCCGCGAGAGACATCAGTCACCAAACTACCGGAACCTGAAATAAGCATTCCCCAAACGTGGGGTGAGATCTCTAAATAAGAAATCTCAGTAAGACAAAGGGGTCCTCAAGGATCTTCCACCCCAAGCTCACTTACATGTGCAATATAAGTTCAAAAGCAGTTTATCATTTATCATTTCAAAAACAATGCAATGCAGCAGATAATCATGCAATGTGTGTCAATACTAATCTACTGGCCAAAGACAGTGCAGGTATACGTCTATCACCTACACACCGTGCAAGTACCACTTGCATTCACCCCGGTACACC